ATAGATAGATAGATAGATACATAGATACATAGATAGATAGATAGATACATAGATACATAGATAGATAGATAGATACATAGATACATAGATAGATAGATAGATACATAGATACATAGATAGATAGATAGCTTTCTATCGATTTGGTTGAGTGCTGTGTCACAGTGACAAATAGTTCACTCTCCAGTCATTGCAATGTTGAGCAATCACCCACACCCCCACCCACCCCTCCTCCCTCTCCCTTTTCCAGTGGGCAGCAAACTTGTGTGTATATGAACAATATGCTCACTTTAAACTTGGACTTCCAGGTCACACAAGTGTTTCTGTTTACACTATCGCTCGCGACACGCTTCATATGCTCTTCCTGCCCACGCGATGTGGCATGCTATAACGTTCAGGAAGCCTTTTTTGGACAGCCCTGCACCTCTAGTTCTTGACAGTATGACCGAGCAGGGAGAAACCAGGAAGATGCAGTACACTGATACTACTAATGCCAAGAGAGTACTTCAGACGAGTGATGTCGCACAAAAGAGAAACAAGCCTCAACGAGTCTCTCGCACAGCAACGAGATACGAGAACAACCTCTGCATATGAAACATTTCTGTGGAACAGAATTGCCCCAGCCCCAGGACTGGGGCAACTACGGTGCTCCATAACGGACCTAACAATCGACACGTAAGTCGAAGATGCTACTGTGTATACCGGGGTGTATACCGGGGGGTCCCCTGGTAGCCCCCCCCCCCCCAGTAGACTACCTACAGTGCCCGATGGGTATGTCAACAAAAGGGCGAAAAAATGCGCTCTTCGTAATTACTTAAGTGCCCCTCCAAAAGGTCGGCGACCCCTGTGTGTATACATTATCCAAACGTGACATCATCATGACCTTGTCCACCACCATTGGTCAAATACCGGCCACAAAAAAGTGGGGGGGGGGGGTTGTTAATTCTACACTCACTGCGATGGGTTTGACTCACACACGCTATCAGCTGTGGTTTGACCAGGCGTGTGTACAACACACATACACACACACACACACACACACAATTACAAACAATGCAGTCAGTGGAAACTGCCCCCACTCCTCCTGGCGTGACACGCGTCTTTTAAAGGAAAGAGTTCCTCTAAACACACTTCACCCCCATTATGTGAACATTTCGTGAACACACCTGCGTACACACACACACACTTAAACTAAAACCAGAGAATGAACCAATGAAACCTTTGAACATCGCAACATACTTTAGCCTTGCATATGATTTTGCGATGATTTTCTTTTAGGGGGATTTCTTATTGGCTTGCCATTTTGTCCGTGAATTCAACCATGTTTGAATTTATACGTTACAGATATAAAAAAAAACACAGAGCTAGCTAGCTCTATCTCTATCTACCTATCTATCTATCTATCTTTCTGTCTATCTATCTAGCTAACTAGCTAGCTTACTATCTATCTGTCTAGCTAACTAGCTAGCTTACTATCTATCTGTCTAGCTAACTAGCTAGCTTTCTTTCTATCTGTCTATCTATCTATCTTTCTATCTATCTTCTATCTATTTATCTATCTTTCTATCTCTCTATCTATCTATCTGTCTGTCTGTCTATCTATGTATCTATTTATCTATCTAGCTAACTAGCTAGCTTTCTTTCTATCTGTATATCTAGCTAACTAGCTAGCTTACTATCTATCTGTCTAGCTAACTAGCTAGCTTTCTATCTATCTGCCTGTCTGTCTATCTATGTATCTATTTATCTATCTTTCTATCTCTCTATCTATCTATCTATTTATCTATCTTTCTATCTATATATCTATCTATCTATTTATCTATCTAGCTAACTAGCTAGCTTACTATCTATCTGTCTAGCTAACTAGCTAGCTTTCTTTCTATCTGTATATCTAGCTAACTAGCTAGCTTACTATCTATCTGTCTAGCTAACTAGCTAGCTTACTATCTATCTGTCTAGCTAACTAGCTAGCTTACTATCTATCTGTCTAGCTAACTAGCTAGCTTTCTTTCTATCTGTATATCTAGCTAACTAGCTAGCTTTCTTTCTATCTGTATATCTAGCTAACTAGCTAGCTTTCTTTCTATCTGTATATCTAGCTAACTAGCTAGCTTACTATCTATCTGTCTAGCTAACTAGCTAGCTTACTATCTATCTGTCTAGCTAACTAGCTAGCTTTCTTTCTATCTGTCTATCTATCTATCTTCTATCTATCTATCTATCTTCTATCTATCTATCTTCTATCTATTTATCTATCTAGCTAACTAGCTAGCTTACTATCTATCTATCTATCTAGCTAACTAGCTAGCTTTCTATCGGTCTGTCTATCTATCTAGCTAACTAGCTAGCTTTCTATCGATCTGTCTATTTATCTAGCTAACTAGTTATCTTTCTATCTATCTATCTATCTATCTAGCTAACTAGCTAGCTTTCTATCTGTCTATCTATATAGCTAACTAGCTAGCTTGTTATCTATCTATCTAGTAGCTAGCTTTCTTTCTATCTGTATCT